ATATCTCACAGGAAGTGCCTCTGAAACAGAATCACAAGGAGTTCCTTTGGATGCTGCAACACTTTCAGTAACTGAAATTTCAGAGTTTAATACTGATCATTATACATGTTTAAACTCTATTTCTTTGAATGCAGCAGAATCCAGTAATGAAGCAGTTAGTGATGAGGAAGATATGTGTAAGAAGCTGATCTACAACTTGGAGAAGAAGACTCAAGCTTTAGATGCAGCCAACAAGGAAAATTCTTCCCTTAAAGAAACAATCACTCATTTGGAGGTTGGTATCACCAAGAAGGATCTTGAACTGGCAAAGGTGAAAGATGAACTCAAAGAAGCAACTCTAGCAATCAAGAGGATGAACACCGGCACAACTAAACTCGAAGAGATTGTGTCACTGGAAAAGTACAACAAAAAGGAAGGTCTAGGGTTCAAGAAACAAGTGAAGAAACACAAGCCAGTGAAGAAGAAAGAAATTGTATTTGTCAAAGAGAAAGGGTCAGATGGCAAGGAATCTAGGAATTTCACAGTCACCACTTCAGTGTCCAGAATAAGGGGATACATTTGTCATTATTGTTTCTCACCAGGACATATTCGTCCATTTTGTGAAAAACTCAGTAGTGACAAAATGTTGTACAAAATGAGCCACATCACTCTAGGGAACACCTCAAAGAAAAAGGTTGAATTTACCAAAAAGAAGTGTAAAATATGGACTCCCAAAGGTAAACTTTTGTGCAAGGCAGTATACACCTCTTTAAATGCTAACATTTCAGGTTCATGGTACTTTGATAGTGGATGCTCTAGGCACATGACTGGAACAAAGGAATTTCTATCAAACTACCACACACTGAATGGAGGACGTGTAACCTATGGAGGAGGAGCTAAAGGCAAAGTGGTTGGACGTGGAACACTCAGTATTGAGGGACTTCCAAAACTTTCAAATGTCTTACATGTTGAAGGATTGGGGTCAAATCTCATCAGTATTAGTCAATTGTGTGATGATGATCTACGTGTTCAATTTGATAAATACTGGTGTTCTGTGTTTGATAATAGAAATCATTGTGTACTGACAGGGTCTAGGTCAATGGATAATTGTTATGAAACAGGTGACACCATCTCATGCAAGAGCTCAAGAGTAAGTGAAGTAGAGCTGTGGCACCAGAAACTAGGGCACACAAACTTCAAAAATCTGAAGCTGCTCAACAAGTACAATGCCATAAGAGGAATTCCATATCTCAAGATCAAGGACATTCCTATATGCGGAATGTGCCAGAAGGGAAAGCAAACTAGAGAGCCACACAAAGTGTTACAACCCGTTGGTACCACCATTTGTTTTGAACTTGTACATATGGATCTTATGGGTCCTATAGAGGTAGAAAGCCTAGGTGGTAAAAAATATGTATTTGTGTGTGTTGATGATTTTTCAAGATATACTTTGGTGTATATTTTAAAAGAAAAATCTGGTCTAGAATACATGCATGTGTTTGGATGTGTTTGCTATGTCCTAAATGATAGAGATCATCTAGCTAAATTTGATTCAAAAAGTGATTTGAGTCTATTTGTGGGATACTCTATTAACAGTCATGCATATAGAGTATATAACTTAAGAACTCGAACCATTGTTGAATCTGTAAATGTGGTATTTGATGATTTTGCTGATCTCCGCAGTAAAACAGCTGAAGATGAAGTTGATGACCTGATTACTGAAGGAGAGACAACCGGAGGAGACACTACTGCCACAGATGCTCCAGATATAAACAGTCCAGTATCAAGAGAAGAGGGTGTTGAGCCAAGTGTTACCACATCTGACTCAATACTTCCTACAGAGAGCACAGAAAAAGCTGAATTGCAGCCAACTCATGATGTCTGCAGAAAGGAACCATCAAGTAGAATCCAGAAAAATCACCCATCAACTCAAGTTGTGGGAGATATCTTTGATGGGATAAGGACCAGAAGAAAAGAGAGAGTGAATTACAGAGATATGGTAAGATTTGCAAATTTATCTTCTGAATGCACACTAACTGGAACTACTTGCTTTGTATCTTCAGTCGAACCAAGGAATATTGCAGAAGCACTGAAGGATGAGTTCTGGATTAATGCAATGCATGAAGAGCTGAATCAGTTCATCAGGATTGATGTTTGGTACTTAGTTCCCAGACCAAGTCATGTAAATGTGATAGGAACTAAGTGGATCTTCAAAAATAAAACTGATGAAAAAGGTACAGTTGTTAGAAATAAGGCTAGGTTAGTAGCACAAGGTTATACTCAGATTGAAGGTATAGATTTTGATGAAACCTTTGCTCCAGTAGCTAGAATTGAATCTATTAGGTTACTTCTTGCTATAGCCTGTTTTCTTAAAATCAAATTGTATCAGATGGATATCAAAAGTGCATGTCTAAATAGTGTTTTAAATGAAGAAGCATATGTAGAGCATCCCAAGGGTTTTGAAGATTCTGCCAAGCCTAATCATGTTTTCAAGCTTAAGAAGGCTTTGTATGGTCTTAAACAAGCTCCTAGAGCTTGGTATCAAAGACTCACTGACTTCTTACTTGAAATACAGTTTAACAGAGGAGAGGCAGACAGAACTCTATTTGTTAAGAGAACAAATAACCATATCATTACTGTACAAATATATGTTGATGATATTGTTTTTGGCTCTACTTGTGCTAATCTTTTACAGTCTTTTGTAGATTCTATGTCTCACACTTTTGAAATGAGCATGGTAGGGGAGTTGAATTACTTCTTAGGACTCCAAATCAAACAAACAGGTGAAGGAATGTTTGTAAATCAAAAGAAGTATGCTCTCAATCTGGTCAAAAGATTTGAGTTGGAGTCAGCCAAGCACATGAAAACTCCAATGGGTTCCAGTCAAAAGCTGTCCAAGGATGATGTTGCAGAAGATGTTGACAGCACTCTATACAGAAGCATGATTGGAAGCCTTCTGTATTTAACAGCAAGCAGGCCTGACATTATGTTTAGTGTTTGTGTGTGTGCCAGGTATCAAGCTAATCCCAAAGTCACTCATCTTAAAGCTGTGAAGAGGATTATTAGGTATGTTGCAGGTACAGTAGATTTAGGGATTCAGTTTTTCAAAGACACAAACACAAACTTGATAGGTTTTAATTAGTGATTCTGATTGGACTGGGGATATTAGTGACAGAAAAAGCACTTCAGGTGCATGTTTCTTTTTGGGGAATAATCTGCTTTCTTGGTTTAGTAGAAAGCAAAATTGTGTATCTCTATCAACAGCTGAATCAGAATATGTAGCTGCTGGAGGGTGTTGTGGTCAACTAATTTGGATGAAACAAATGTTGGGAGATTACGGGTTGACCAGTGATACCCTGACCATATATTGTGATAATTCAAGTGCTATTGACATTTCAAAAAATCCTGTTCAACACTCACGAACTAAACACATAGATATTAAACATCATTTTATTCGTGATATAGTTGAGAAAAATATAGTGTGCTTAAAGTACATTCCTACAGAAGATCAGCTGGCTGATATCTTTACAAAGGCATTAGATTATGAGAGGTTTTCTAAACTCAGAAAATCTCTCGGGATGTGTACTCAATAAACATGTCCTAAACAATGTTGCAGCACCTCATCAAATATCTTAAGCTGCAACATAATTTATTGAAGCTTAGCTTCTTTAAATAATGACTTCACTGTGATGAATTATTTTTCTAAATAAGTAACTGGAAGTCTTTCACCTTGAAACGTGATCATGCTTCATGTAAACATTTAGGGAATAATTACACTCACATAAGTCAAACTCCTCTATTTTGATAGTCATATCTTAGTAACTGAGGAACCTTCAAACTGAACACTTGATCATGTTCCATGTGAATTGTTTGACTTGAAAATAAGAGTTTATATATATATTTAAAAAAAAAAAAAAAATATATATATATATATATATATATATATATATATATATATATATATATATATATATATATATATATATATATATATAAAAAAAAATATATATATATATATATATATATATATATATATATATATATATATAAATATATATATATAATACAATCTATGCCTGTTAGCCAATTTTTTCTCATACTATTAATCATTAATAAATCGGTTTTTCTATTTTTGTGAATATTTCGTGAGTGATAAATATTATTTTTATTATTTATATTGAATTATCACTATTTATATGGGTCATGGGGTTCATGGGTTAGTCTTTTATTTTCCACTAAGTCCACTCCTTATTGTGCCATGTGTCACGTTTTGCTTTAAACTGCCAATGGATGTGTTATTCTCCTTAATCACACTTTTCTCCAAGAAAAACGCACCCCACTTCTTCATCTTCTCCACTTCGATTTTTTTCTGCAAATTAGGGCTTATAAATTTCGTGCTTCTTTTTCGAAAATTCACACTCAAAAATCAAAAGCACAAGAAGCAATTTTTATCTACTGTATCATGGCATCTCCTCCTAGAAATCCTCTTCCAGCCGCAGTTGGTGATGTCCACAACGATGCTGCAGCACCTGAACCAGCAGACCCAAATCTGGCCATCATCGTTCATCCTGTCAACCTTGAAGCTATGCCGATCAGCTTTATTGAGCCCGGAGACGAGATGAATCCGATTAACCCAGACAACTTCCAGAACGTGGGTCCCTCTTCCAATACAAGAAGGATTCCAACTCGCCGGTCCAAGCGCATGAATTCCTTCCCAGATCTGAATGCTACTGGATCACAACGCCGAAGGGGAAGACATTCTCCCAGCAGAGGCAGCAGAGGTAGAAGAAGAGGCAGCAGAGGCAGCAGAGGTAGAAGAAGAGGCAGCAGAGTCGGTCGCACTCCAGTTAGGCCAAACCCACCAAGAGGCCTTCATTTGGTTGATGAAGAAACTGATGATGAAGAAGGAGATCCTATTTTTGCAGAACCAAGCCCAAGCTCTCTCATCAAGCTCCACTGAGTCATCTTCCAAAGACTCACCTCCACTAGCATCAACTTAGGGGGAGACATTTCAGTCCAACATGGCAGCAACTCCCTCTCAACATCCTGTTTCCGAAGATGTTGCTGCACATGTTCCAGAAGATACTACTGCACCCTCTGATTCAGCCAATGTTTCTCAGAGTGCTGCTGAGGATGCTGCGCCCTACCAGGATGAAGAAATGCCTGATTTTTCAGGGATGTCCTCTGCCGAGCATGTTGACATTCCCTCTGTTGATGCTCAGGATTTCACTACCACTGAAGAAACACCCTCAGCACCATATGCAGATCCTCTGGAAACTCTTCAAGTAGATGTTCAAGTAGATGCAGCACCTTCTCAGGCTGATGAACCAGAGAAAAGTGATGACAGCTGGAAAGTTCCCCTTGCCACTTTTCGCAAAAATTTGCCATCCTCAGAGTCAGACAGTGACTCATCTGAGGACTCATCTCAGATGGAAGAAGATGCTGCTCCACCTATTGCATCACCTGAGCCAGCATGCATACCAGATGAACTTGAAGACTCAGAAGAAGAGGAATCTTCAGAAGAAGAAGAGCTAGACTTGGATGGGAAGGAACTGTCAACTCCTTTTGAGGTAAAACAATGCTTTCAGTCATATATTTTATTTTGAATCTGATTCAAATTGAGGAAAAGAAAATTTTCAAATGATGAGTTTGATAGGCATAGGATCACTGCTTTTCTTGATCAAAGTTGAGGTTGCCTGTCCTTATGATCTTTCTGTTGTGAAGGAATTTTTATGCCAATTTACAAACTTCTTTTTTAAAGAAAAATTCTCCAAACTTTGAAAAAAGTTTTTGTGCGAAATTCTATTTTATTCCAAAATTATCAACTCGCATTTACAAACTCCTACTGTGATTGATGAGGATAATTATGGTGATTTTACTGAAGTTTGTAAGACTCTTTCTGGCAATCGTTTTAAATCCCTCTCTCATCCACTCCATCTTGATTTCTCAAAATTTTAAGATCTTCCCTGGAATGGAGATAATTTCCTCTCAACTGAATCAGGTCAAAATAATCTTGGTACTGAAGGTGTTGCTCCTCATGTTGACAACACTCCTGACATCCTTATTTCTGTTTCTCGAGATTTATTTTGTTAAAACATCTTACTCACTCCCTAGTTCAGATCACCTATCATCAGTGCATGGTGGAAATACTTCAGAGAGATCTTTCTGATCAAAAAGGGGGAGAAAAAGCTAGTCATGAAGATTGAAGCAGGGACTTCTCATCCTTTGGATGCCAGAGGCAGAGAGCAAGGAGTCAATGAAGAGGGAGCAAGGAATGAGGGCGAAGCTCAAGGAGCAGAGAAAAGCAGTGGATCCAGTGCTAGTGATGGAGGAGCAGTGAGGAGACTTTGGATATTCTACTTTAATTTGTTTTAATGAACAATACTTGGTTTTGTTCAGTTTTTATTTTCCCTCTGAACTTTTATGTTAATGTTGGTTGTCAAATTCAGGGGGAGTTCAAGCAATGACTCAGGGGGAGTTAAGCTAAAATTTAGTTTTGATCAGAAAGTTAAAAAGGGGGAGTTTGAAACACGTGAATTATTTCCATGTTTTATTTTTAACTCTCTTATTTTTTAAACTAAATTTTAGTTATTGATAAAGTAGTGCTTAGTGGGATAAGTATAGTGCTTAGTGGATTAAGTATAGTGCTTAGTGGGTTAAGTAGTGCTTAAGTGGGTTTAATTGTGAATATTATTCTAACTCCTTAAACTAACCCACTAACCCATTATCTTGAGTGCTCTTGTGGTTGGTTTTCTTGCAGATCATGGGCTAAGTAGTGGATGCTTGGAATTCTTATAAATACCGAATTCAATACTCAAGGAAGAGGATCGATTCCGAAGAATTAAACACCGAGAGCTGAAAAGAATACATGAGTGTTTTAGTGTGTTTTTAGGATCGGTTGGTTGTACTCCTCATGAGTACAATCTTTACGTACTCCTTATGAGTACATTCTTTACGTACTTCTCATAAGTACATTCTTTGTAGTCTAGATTATTTAGTATACATGTTTCTAGACTTGGTTGTAAGAATGATCAAGATAGTGATTCATTCATAAGTTCTTTACGTACTCCTCACGAGTACATCTTTGAAATCTAGAATTTTTAATATTTTTCTTTTAGTATCTAGATTTGATTGTAAGAATGATCTTGAAAAAGATTCATTCATAAGGAAGAAGTTTTCGCACCTCTTCTGTTTGTATTCTTGGAATACTTATTTTAATATATTTTTCCGTCCTGTAAAGGGCAAGTTCACAAGTCTTTACTTGTGAACATTTTTAATTCTGAGTATTGTTATTTTATCTTTATATTTCCGCTGCATGTTTGTTCAAGTGTCATAACACTTAAGATAACACCTCTGTATTAAACGAATTCGGGACCATAAATTCTTTTAATAACAATAAATTGCAAAAATGAACAAAAAAATAGCAAATTAATAATAATAACTGCAATTACAAACAATGAATTCAAAGTGTAAACAAATAAATGCAAACAAGAAAATTTCAAATAGAAAATTACAAATAAGAAATTCAAAGTGTAACAAGCAACTGCAAACAAGAAAATGATGATTCGATTGCAAACAAGTAACAAAGTGCAAACAAATAGCAGACCACATGAACATCCACAAAATAAAGAAAACAAGAACAACAAAATGCATACCACAAGAACAACAAAAAAAACAAAAACACGATGTTTCAATAATGCACAATAAAATGCAAATTTCAAATAACAACACAAACGACAACAAATAAACATCAACAACTGACTGAAAAAAAAATGAAAAAAAAAATGTTAAAATACGTTAAACATTTTTTTCTTCTGAGATAAAAATACCAGTAATGGGTCGTTAAATCATCATCAAAACATCTAAAAAAATTGGAGAAATAAAAAGGAATTAATTACCTGGACTTTTACGTTTCCGCACCATGTTGTTTGATATTGAAGTTCTTCAATTTGGCGTTACGAGGATGACGAACAACAAACAAACAAATCTAGGGTTTTTTTATTTCAATTAAAAAACGACAAAACATTAAAGGAACCATAAACAAACAGCAAACGAAAACATCAAAGGAACCATAAACGAACAGCAAACGAAAACATCAAATGAACCATAAACGAACACATTTTTTTGTGTTTTCTGCTTTTGCGTTGGAGAAGATGAAAGAAATATAAAATCGTATTTTGGGATTTGAAGATTTGCAACGATGTTGTCTCCGGAGAAAAAAGAGGGATTAAAACCTCTATAAGATTGACTAGTATTTGGAGATTTTTATTTTCTATATTTTATTAGGGGTATTTTAGACACTATAAAAATAATAAATATAATAAAAATAGGGAATTAGTAGTTGGATTTATACATATAAAATCTCTTAGAGAAGGACCTATAGCAAATTGCCCCATAATAATAATAATAATAATAATAATAATAATAATAATAATAATAATAATAATAATAATAATAATAATAATAATAATAATAATAATAATAATAATAATAATAATAATAATAATAATAATAATAATAATAATAATAATAATAATAATAATAATAATAATAATAATAATAATAATAATAATAATAATAATAATAATAATAATAATAATAATAATAATAATAATAATAATAATAATAATAATAATAATAATAATAATAATAATAATAATAATAATCTTATATATAAAAGAAAGAAACGCTAGGGCAACCCTAAGAAACCCTAATGTCATATTTGTAAATTTTTTTCAATTTTTATCAAATTTTTATCCCCTTAATATTAATTTAAATATTATTTTCGAATTTTATCATATTTGTATCCCCTAAATATTATTTTAAATATTATTTTTTATTTTTTATCAGATTTTTGTCTACTAAATATTATTTTTTATTTTTATCAAATTTTTATCTCCTAAATATTATTATAAATAATATTTTTTGATTTTATCAAATTTATATCTCCTAACTGTAATTTTAAATATAATTTTCAACTTTTAGCAGATTTTTATCTCCTAAATATTATTTTCGAATTTTATCATATTTATATCTCCTAAATAATATTTTAAATATTTTTTTCGAGTTTTATCATGTTTTTATTAGTTTTTTATCTCCTAAATATTATTTTCGTTTTTTATCAGATTATTGTGTCCTAAACATTATTTTCGATTTTTATCAAATTTTTATCTCCTAAATATTATTCTAATTATTATTTTCATATTTTATCAACTTTTATCTCATTAACATTATTTGAAATATTATTTTCGATTTTTATCAAATTTTTATCTTCTACTATTATTTTAAATTTTATTTTCTATTTTTATCAGATTTTTATCTCCTAAATATTAGTTTTTGATTTTTTTATCAAATTTTTATCTCCTAAATATTATTTTAAATATTATTATCGATTTTCATCAAATTCTCCTAGATATTATTTATAATAATCTGATTTTCAATTTTTACAGAAAAGGGTAATTAAATCTGATTTTCATCCCTAGCGGATTTTGTAACATCGTTTTACAGAATGTCCGCAACATTTGAATTTTATGTCTTCCCTACCTAAGGCTTCTTCTTTTGGTAAGCCGACTTTAGATTTTGTTTCTTATATTCTTCTTCATCCTATTGACTGTGTGGCAATTAGTTTACATTTTTTTCCATCATGGCTTATAGGTAATTTCATTTTGTTAAATTATGTGTTTCATTAATTTATACCAAAGTTTTCAAATTTTATGTATAACAATTATTTCATTTTATATGTTATTGGACATGTTATTGAAATGGGTGATTTGAGAAAATTAACCAAAAATGGGCGGAGCCACAAGCTATTGGAAGTCGACCTTCAAGACTTATTGTTTGTATGCGATATTTAATTTATTGTTTCTTAATTTTCCAATTGTTAATTCCAGTGGCAAAACAGCCTTAAAATGAGGCAGTGGAGAAGGGCTTAGTTCCGATGCAAGATGTATAGATGGCATTTTACGATGGTATGTTGTCGATAGTTTAGTTTTGATTATGTTAACTTAGTTATTAAATCTAATTACTTTTAAGCTCAACATGAAAGACATAATTGATGATTTTTTTCCTGGTTCAAATTTTCAATCTACTGGTATTAGCTGATTCAATTCATACGATACTTATTCAACAGTAAAGTTATGTCTTTTTTTTTGTGTGTAGTATACTTAATAATGTTCCAGTATAATAGAATTTTGATCATACGATACATCAAACGTTTGTATATATTCTTACAACATCAAAACAATGTAATTTGTTGTCCCGTGCATCGCACGGGTACAATTACTAGTAATAATAAAAAAGAAATAGTGGAAGCAAATAGTGGGTTTAATGGCTTATATAAGTTTATATAAGAAAAGGGTAATTAAATATTTCCATGATTAAACTCATAGCAAGAGTGAGCCGTTACAAATCAGCGAACCGCTATCCAGCTCATTCGACACTCCCCAAAACCCTACTGCCGATTGCCGCCTTCACGCCACCGCCGACCTCCATCTTTCTATCTTATCAGGTCTGTATTTTAATCATCCGCCGCCTCGCCCCGATCATAGTAATTTCGTCCTCGCGTGCTTTTGTTCCATTTCGCAATCTCATTGCATAATTTTTTTTTTAATTTGTCTTGATAGGCGGGCAGCTCGATGGATCCGGTAGACCTGACGCCGGAAGCACTCGAGAAGAAGAAGAAGAAGGATGAAAAGGTATGGATGGGGCATCAATTTTATTCAATAATTTTTGTTGTAAAAACAACAATAATTTGTATTCCGCGATTGTTGAGAACTGTGAGGAATTTGAGTTGGAATCGTTTCTGTCTTCATTAGAATTTGAACTGATTTTGCTAGAATTGCAGTTCCAGTAACTTTTTTGTAACAATTGCACATATTTTTGTCTGTGATATTTTATTTTTCCTTTTCAATATGAACTCTTGCTGCTTTGATGATTGATCCGTTCCTCTTCTTGAAATGTAACGTAGGCTAGAGAGAAGGAGTTGAAGAAACAAAAGGCTGCACAAAAAGCAGAAGCAGCCAAACTTCAGGTATGCTACTACGACTACCGTTGCTAAGTTGACAGTTTATTTAGTTACTGTTAAAATATAGTAGTTCACTTTTCTTTATGATGTACTGCGCTAACGAGGCTTGTTCATTCATTGCTAATTTTAGGCGCAAAAAGTTTCCAGTGCACCAGAGTCGGGGAAGAAAAAAAACACAAAAAGAGAAGTTGAGGTAGAAAACCCAGAGGATTACAACGATCCTGAAACACCATTGGGCGATAAGAAGAGACTTTCACGTCAAATGGCGAAAACTTACAAGCCTAGTGCTGTCGAGAATTCGTATGTTGGATCGAAAATATTTTACTTTTCAAATACATGAACGATTGCTTTCTGATTCTTTAAACCTTAGGCTTTAATTTTGTTATGTAGGTGGTATGAATGGTGGGAAAAGTCTAATTTCTTTGTGGCAGATCCAGACAGCTCCAAACCTCCATTTGTAATTGTGAGTTCTTAATTGGATTATTGTATGGTTTAATTGGATTATTTTATGGTTTAATTGGATTATCGTAGGGTTTAATTGTTTAAAAGCCTAATGTTTATGTGTATACAGGTTCTGCCACCACCTAATGTGACCGGGGCTTTACATATTGGCCATGCTCTTACTGCTGCTATCCAGGTATTTTATTGAAATATGATGTTTCTTTTGTGAGACTATCTCCAGTACTGCACCTTTGTTTGATTTTTATTTATGTTTATTTCCATTTCCCCATAGGATACAATTATTCGTTGGAGGCGAATGTCTGGATATAATACACTGTGGGTACCTGGTATGGACCATGCTGGAATTGCAACACAGGTTATACATCAAAGTTCATACATACTTTAGTGACTTATATTTGTACCGTACTTCAGATTTGTTTATGTCATTCCTTCCGAGGGAGGTTGATCGTGTCTTGTATGGACGATTTAATGCATTTTCAGTTATCTTGTTTGGCTTCTATTTTTCGTGTACTTTAAAAGTTATGATATGGGGTTGCCTTAACTTCAATCCTAGTTTCATTCAAATTTGGAAGAAACTTGGCATTAACTGGCTATATTAATTATACATGCTGAAGATTGGTGTAACTTATCATCGTAATAAGATACATTGGAAGGTTTTTTAGTTATATCATTCTCTCAAAGTATATTCGAAATATTTTTAATGGTTCTGTACACATCTGTCTTGATGTTTGTGATGAACAGCGGAATATTATTCAGTCACCGCTAGTTAACTGGTTTTGATATTAACTGGCTCAGGTTGTTGTGGAGAAGAAACTAATGAGAGAAATGAAATTGACCAGGCATGATGTTGGGCGTGAAAATTTTGTAGCCGAAGTGAGTTTAGCCATTTTTAATTCTTCTTTTATTAGTGTTGTTTTACTATGAAGTAAGTTTAATACACAAATAAGTCTAGCAGTCCTTTTAACAAGTCATTAATAGGTTTGGAAATGGAAAAATGAGTACGGGGGTACTATATTGAGACAACTTCGGCGCCTGGGTGCATCTCTGGATTGGTCCCGCGAGGTAATAATTTTGTTCATTTCTGCATCATCAATTTGATATAACTAGTGGAAGTCTGTGTATGGTTGATTCTGATTATAGGTTATGTGACGTTCATTTGTGTCTTAAATCCTGTAATTGACAGTGCTTTACCATGGATGAGAAGAGATCATTGGCTGTGACAGAGGCTTTTGTAAGACTTCACAAGGATGGTGTTATATATAGGTACGTTGGTAACTATGCAGTCAATTTTGTAACAAAGTTGTGGCCTGAAGAATTTCCAATTCAAGTTTAGGGTGCAAAACTATTTGTTGCATTCTGGGGCCTATTTGATTCTTCCTTCATAGTTATTGGCTACTTGTTGGCCTTCTACATATAGTAACTATCATTTCCATGAGACCATTCAGCCGTTTAATTTTGAACACTTGTTAAATATATAAATAAGGTTGAAGCTTCGAGAATGCTGGATTCTAGTCTTCTCCATACATGTAATTCAATAGATTGCCTCCTTATGGTGTCCCCGACCACCATCAAAACCGAAATACTTGAGTTGTTGTTTATTTTGTTTTTTGTACTCAATCTTTTATTTCTTTGAAGTGCAGCATCACAATATTTCATCTTATTTCTTCCAGGGATCTACGTCTAGTGAACTGGGATTGTGTCTTGAGAACAGCAATATCTGATATTGAGGTAAGATATAGCTTATCTGGCTTATGATTCTTTTGTGTAGATGCAAGCGCGTCCTGAGATTTTGCAGGTTCTTTGGTGTCTTAGGTAGATTACATTGATATCAAAGAGAGAACGCCATTGCGGGTTCCTGGATATGAGAAACTCGTTGAGTTTGGGGTGCTGACTTCATTCGCTTATCCTTTGGAAGAAGGCCTGGGCGAGATTATTGTGGCAACTACTCGAGTGGAAACAATGTTGGGTGATACAGCAATTGCTGTACATCCAGATGACGCTAGATACAGTCATCTTCACGGGAAATTTGCTATTCATCCTTTCAATGGAAGGAAGCTTCCTATAGTTTGTGATGCCGTACTTGTGGATATGAATTTTGGGACTGGGGCTGTTAAGGTCAGCATCATTTTCTGTTTAAACACCAACTGATTTTCCTGTTCTTCGAAGTCAATTTGATTGACATCATTCAATATTTTGCAGATAACTCCAGCCCATGACCCAAATGATTTTGAAGTTGGAAAGCGTCACAATCTGGAGTTCATCAACATTTTCACTGATGATGGCAAAATAAATAGCAATGGTGGCGCAGAGTTTGCAGGAATGCCTCGCTTTGAAGCACGTGTGGCTTTGACTGAAGCTCTAAAGAAAAAGGTTACTTGTTTACCTAGTGCTGCGAGATTTGCGTTTGGGATGGCTTATAGAATTATAGGAGTATATACTTTTTTCCTTGCAACTATGCTCATAGTTACTTATCTTGGCATTTCAGGGACTCTATAAAGGTGATAAGAATAATGAGATGCGTCTTGGCATTTGTTCGAGAAGCAATGATGTAGTGGAGCCACTCATAAAGCCTCAGTGGTATGTTAACTGTAAAAACATGGCACGAGAAGCTCTTGACGCTGTCATAGATAGTACAAATCCAAAGATGGAGATCATCCCAAAACAATATGTTGCTGAATGGAAGAGGTATTTTGTGAAATGATGAAATATTGTACTTCTTTTTACAATATATTATCACTCAAGATTTTGTTTGTTGTTCTCTTCTAATACTTGATTTATGTTTCCAATTTCAATATTGGGGTTATTGAGATATATATGCTCATTAATTTTAACATTATCATTTTATTGCGTACCTTTTAAAATTTTTGGTAGTAATGTTGCAGATGGCTTGAGAATATTCGTGATTGGTGCATCTCAAGGCAACTTTGGTGGGGGCATCGTGTTCCAGCATGGTATGCAGTGCTGAAAGATGATGAACTTAAGGAACTTGGTGTATACAATGACCACTGGGTGGTTGCCCGGAATGAGGAAGAGGCTAAGGAGAAGGCTAGCAGAATCTTTGCTGGAAAGACGTTTGATCTTTACCAAGATCCAGATGTTTTGGACACATGGTTTTCTTCTGGTCTTTTTCCACTATCTGTGTTAGGATGGCCAGATGATACCAAAGATCTTAGAGCATTTTATTCTACATCTGTGCTTGAAACTGGCCATGATATCCTCTTTTTTTGGGTTGCCCGTATGGTGATGCTGGGAATGAAGCTTGGAGGTGATGTACCATTTGGAAAGGTGAGCCGCATTTATGTACATATTACTTAATCTACGAAAGTTTTGTTACTCTTTTTTTTTTTTCTATTATACATGTTTGCTTTGTTAGACCGAATTGCCAATAATGGTACATTCTTAACGGCATGCAGGTTTACTTGCATCCTATGATTCGTGATGCTCATGGACGCAAAATGTCCAAGTCATTAGGAAATGTTATTGATCCCCTAGAAGTAATTAATGGCATAGAATTGAAAGGTCTCCACAAAAGGCTAGAGGAGGGTAACTTGGATCAAAAGGAATTGGAAACTGCTAAAGAGGGTCAGACAAAGGACTTCCCCGATGGTATTCCGGAATGTGGTTCAGATGCTCTGCGTTTTGCCCTTGTTTCATACACAGCTCAGGTTCAGACCTATTCTGTGTTTCTTTTTAAATTTCTTGTTCTTTTTGGAGTTTGATCTTGAGATTTCCTTTTTTTCCTCTTCAGTCGGATAAAATAAATCTGGATATTCAGAGGGTGGTTGGATATCGTCAATGGTGCAACAAGCTATGGAATGCTATAAGGTTCGCCATGACTAAACTTGGAGAGGATTACATCCCTCCAGAAGAGATTATTCCAGCTACATTGCCTTTCAGCTGCAAGTGGATTCTCTCTGCTCTGAACAAAGCCATATCAAAAACAGTAGTGTCTTTGGATTCATATGAATTCTCAGATGCTGCAACAGCTGTATACTCGTGGTGGCAGTTTCAGTTATGTGATGTGTTTATAGAAGTAATTAAGCCTTATTTTGCTGGTAATGATCCAGCATATGCATCTGAAAGGAAACACGCGCAGGATACATTGTGGCTGTGTTTGGATAATGGGTTACGGTTACTTCATCCTTTTATGCCATTCGTCACAGAAGAATTGTGGCAGCGTCTTCCTTCTAAGAAAGATTTTGTGAGGAAAGAGTCAATTGTGATATCTGAATATCCATCAGCTGTAGAGGTAAAAATTTAGTACTTACTAAGACATAATAACTTGCACACAACAGTGCTAGTGCTAATTTACTGTGTTCTTGATTGTTTGGATAAAAAACTTGCACACGCTAATTTATTGTGCTACTTGATTGTTGTTCCATCAGCTGTAGAGGTAAAAATTTAGTACTTAGTAAGACATAATAACTTGCACACAACAGTGCTAGTGCTAATTTACTGTGTTATTGATTGTTTGGATAAAAAACTTGCACACGCTAATTTATTGTGCTACTTGATTGTTTGGATGTTGTGTAACATTTTGAGATTACGATGCTTGGGTGAGTAGTTAATATGTTATCCACAGATGATATGACAGTATGATTGCCGTAAGGTGTTTTAGTTTGACATTTTTACTGATAATATGGTATATACGCACTTCTCTAATTATGCAGTCTCACTTTATTGTTTTGCCAAGTTAACATTGGGTACTTGACAAATTAAACATTTGGAAAAAATATAACCTGATTGATTGTCTATTGGGGTTAAATGGACTTGCATGACGATGCTATACATATGTTCCAAAGTTCTGATCCAACTTCCTTTTATATGCTTTCGTTTTTCCCGTGATGTTTACTTTTATACATAATTCATTTTGTTGATTTATCGATATTTTTGTGGTTGACCATGTTTTAGTACATCGATATATGGTTCTTGGGTTGGATGATTTGATCATTATTCATTAAATATCGTTAATGTTTTGTCTGTCTTCAGAGTTGGAATAATGATGTTGTGGAGTTGGAGATGGATATGATCGAGTCTGTGGTGAAATCACTGAGGTCTCTCCGGTCACAGTTGGCACCAAACGAGAGATATGAAAGGTAAATGCCATCATAATTATTCTGTATGCATGTAAATATTCAACCATGTCAAAGGTTATGCATATCATTTTTCTTATGCTTATTATAAGGTGTTAGTTGGTTCTTGATCCCGTTTATAACAAATATATCTATTTCCCCAGACGTGCAGCTTTTGTTGTTTGCCGCACAGATGATGCATGCCACATCATCAAGAAGCATGAATTGGAGGTTTCCACCCTCGCCACATTATCGTCTCTCGATGTATGTAATACGATTTTCTTCCAATCATGGAACACAAATTAGATCCTTTTATTCTGTTTGGATATAATTCCTTTTAAAACATTCACTGATTTTTTTGAATGTTGGTAATGGATTGCGTTGTCAAGGTTTTAAGCGAGAAGGATGATGCTCCAGTTGGATGTATACTAGACGTGGTAAATGAATCTCTTTCAACGTTCCTCAAACTTAAGGGGATAGTTAATGTGGAAGCTGAACTTGAAAAGCTGAATAAGAAGATGGAGGAGCTACAAAAGTGAGAATCCTCTCCGAGTATTTTGAGCTATTGAGAAAAAGTAATTTTTTTTTAATGTAAAATTATTGGTTTCATTTTGTCGATCTTTCATCAGGCAATGTGATGGCTTGAAAAAGAAGAGGAGTGCTCCCGCCTACCAGGAAAAAGTTCCGGTGCATATTCGTGAAGTGGATGAAGCGAAGCTTGCTTCTTTGTTGCAAGAGTTATTGTCATTCAAGGAAGCTCGTGAACATCTTGAACGGGAAAATCGGGAAACCTGATGATGAAAAATACATCGTATTTTTTATAATTGATTTAAGATTTTTCTGGGGGTTTGTTTAATCCTTCAAATTTGTCAAAAGTTTTGGTTTTTTCTTGGCCCTCCAATTGTCTTGTTCTAGAAAGCCCTTCTTCCATCTTTTATGTTTGTAAGAGATGCTTGCAGAATATATTGTCTGGGATTGTTTTGCATTTTTTTTGTTTTTTAACGAGTTTTACGGACAAAATGCACTTCCCCCTGTTTTCTTTTATAGGATATTAGCGTTATTAGCGTCATTTATTAGGGTACATATGTAATTTTGCCATGCCCATCTCAATTCTAGAAATGCAAAAAATGCAACTCAGATTTCGAAAAAAAAAATCAGCATCGGAATATTGGACATGATAAATGTTGTTCCAAAATCATAAAATTTCTAATTGGATTTTGCGGGAAAATCCCTTCCGATTTCCAACTCTGGGTGGGGTATTAATTTTAAATAATTTTGTTAGAATGTTATCATTTAAAACCATTAGTTATTATATTCAAAAAAAAAAAAAAACCGTTAGTTATTAGTACAAATTTAATTCGACATCTAGAGAAAGTTTCTATCCAAAAATATTTCATTAAATTAAACGATAAAGCGGCCAGAATCTGGCCGGCCAAAAAGGCTAATTCCGTAAATTTTACTGAAAAAGTATTATGTTCAATTACTATGTTGTCCTTTAATTAATATTGATTATTTCTAATAATTTAACCTTTTTCTCTCTCTACAATTTAATTACCATAATTCCAAAGGTCAATGTATTAAATGCCAGATTACAACTTCCAATCAAACAACGTCAATTCATTCCATTCTTTTTTTTTTTTTTATCACTTTCTACATTTCCCTTTTCACTATTTTTTTCCATTATTTTTGTTCATGTAAATTCAAAAAGGATTAAATAAAGTTTACACCCCTAAAGGATACCCATTGTAACATTTACACCTCAAACACAATTTAATTTGTATTTTAAATTCTAATACTTTAAAATTATCTCCTTTATTTAAAGGAATAACTAAAGAATAATTAAGTTATACAACTAAAAATATATGCTGAAAAATGCAATATTTTAAAATTTTAAAATATTATAATAAAAAACTCGGTTTGAACAGGTTGAACCAATCTAACCGTGATCCGAATACCTATCTAATTTTGTATCTGGTCCGGTCCTAACACCATTAATAAAATTAGATTAGGCTCAATTTTATTCCTAATTTCAAAATTAGCATTAGAATCATGATTACTCCAATTATCTATTAGACACATAATTATTGTAATTAGTTAAAAAATGATCATATAAAAAAAATCGATTTATCATATTCTAGAGAATTAAATACGTACAATGTTTATTCTAAAATTAAATCTTCAAGAAATTGCTTATTTTATAATTAATCGAGATGCTAACTTAAATGTTGATCTTAAAGTCTAACAAAAATTAGAAATTTCACAAAGTTCACATTAAAAAAATATATTTAGTAAATAATTATAATAATGTAATTTTCATATCAATATTAACATTAATAATCTACAAACAAAACTGATATAACTTTATATATTTACTCAATGCTAATCCAATAATATGTATCTTATTTGTATCTTTGAATTTTTCATTAAATATTTTCTGTACATGTCTGATAATAAAATTGTATGAACTAGAATACTTAGAATTTTATAAAATATACTTAACCTATGTACACTTCAAAATTATATATAGTTCGATAATCTTAGTTTGATAAAAAAATCCATACTAGCAGTAGTGGATTAGTAAAATATTCTAGAATTTGTGCA